CAGACAGCCTCTTCCCAATATGCGTTTTTGCAATTTACATATATGCAAAAACGCATAAAAATGGAGAAAGGAACGGGCGCAATTAGCCTATTATGAAATTTGTGAAAAAATGCATGAAAAAATATACTTACCCCGTTAATTCAATGTATTCATGCTTTCGGCTTGTCAAACGGTCCTTGAAATACGGGCAGGTGGCTGATAAAATGCATCTAAATGATATAAGTATCAGCAAGCATCTGTGAGCACGCATCAACTCGATTTCATGAAAAAGGGCCTGAACCAAAAAGTACGCGCTAAACGCTTAATTAGTAGGCAAATTGACATACCGATGCGCAAAAAGTTCCCCGTTATCAGTTTTAACAACAACATCTGTATCAATATTATTGAGGTACATGTTCAGCAAGTCAGCAGCTAGCTTGCATGACGGATTTTTATCGGCGATCGGCAACGATCCTGAAAATAAATTTGTGGCAATGTTTACTGACTTGGGCTGTGGATGCAGTTATTCTAACAGCAATGAGAGGCATTCCTACATGCACTACTTCACACTAAACTGCCACCACACTTGTGTTTGACTCATACACGCAGCATCTGTTAATATGTCGATTGACGCTCATTTAGTGAAGTCGTGCCTTCACGATTCTTTTCACTGAAGAAATTCAGATGCGCGCAAATAATAATATTAAAGTTGGAGGGCTACAAATGGGCTGGGCGCATACTCACGAAATCTCACCTTTCTAGTTTTTCTGGCCCTTGAGTTGAAAGGGGGGTGACAAAGACGGACACATGGACAATCTCTTGTCTGTATGCTTTTGCATTTGCATAATAAGCAAAAACGCAAAAAACAAAAGCAGAGTAGGCTAGCCACTGGGAGATAATGCGTTCGCCAGTAGAAGGATAAATATGAATAGGATGACAATCACTTGTCACTAGTTATATGTTAGAACTTCAATTACCTATTATCAAATTTAAAAATTCGGTTTTCAAACTGTAAAAAATGAGTATCTATAAAAAGAAACTCAGCCTCCTAACGATTCAACGATAACAACAAAACTAAGTGTAGCCAAATACTTCACTACTTTTATCTGGTGCTTCACAAATAACATTTCCAAAACAAAATCTCACTATCGCACCCTCGTAATTTGGTGTTAAATCGATGGAAGTTAGTGAGTTCAGCGATGTCATCGACAATCGTCTGGCCATTATAGCTCGACCGCGAATGCCCTCCGGTCCTGGGGCACTGTGCCACATTTCTGGATCTGCGTTACCTGTAATACCAATTATTACTCAGCTAATTTGTGCACATCCTCCTAAAACAGAATGTCACAGAATCAAAATCCTTGGCGTTCGCCGAATTCGCTTTAATCTTCCTCTAGTTTACATGATAATGGTAGAATTCTGGACAGCATATCGGATTTGATTAAATAAAAGAAAAGGCCATGCAAGCATTTGAGCCGTCCCAGCTCGAGTTCGTTATGATCAACATCTATGCAAACAATTGCTATGATAGCGGTACAGAGTTGGAAACAGGTGCTCTTACAGGCTTTCCAATAAGCTGCTGCTACCGTGGATGTTTGAAAGCAGGAAGAAGTCTGATGTCTTTCGCTGTGATAATTTTTTGAAAAATTCTCAATACAAGAAAAAAACAAAATTTTCGAATTCGCAACCTACTCAATTTCGGAAAAAAATTCAAAGTCAGTTTTTGAGAGTGAATTACAAATAGGCCCAGTAGATTTTTATTTCTGATTTGGAGCAAAAATAGTCAGCAGAGATATGAAGATGCAGCATAAACTCCGGTGTTTTTGCACTAGTTCTGCAAGATGAACACCAAGACCTGAGAATTTCGAAATTTTTAGAACTGGTTCGTCAGCCTGTAACCAAAAACACCTTTCGAGAAGATGGGAGGCACTTGGCGATAGGATACTCACTTGGAGGCTGGATTCGCAGCTGGTACTATG